AAACTTTGTAACTTTAAGACTTATGCACTTCAACTCCCAGAAATCCTCAGCCAACATAGCTGAGGAAGTTGCAAAGTTTGCCCTAACATATGAGAGTGACTATTATGGAAAATAATAATTATTTACCAGATTACTCTACTCTAACATTTCCTTGTTTTTCTGCCTTTTCCCCCTTTCCCCTCCCTACTCCCCCCTCCCTTCCCTAGTGGTCTTCACAGCTGTTGCAGTATATATATCTCACTACCAAATCCCAATATACTACAGTGTTTTGGATAGAATTCCCCTGCCCACTTGTCATGTAGATACGAGTGGGCCCTTGGTCTATTATCCCTAGCTGGAGTAGTTTAATCATCTCTTTATTTGGTAGTGCTAGGAATAGATTCTGCTCTATGTAATTCAGTATTACCTAGACCACTCTTACCCGAATTGATGACAACCTCTATAGCTTCCATACTCCCTAACCAACATGGCGGTCTAACTTTAACAGATGTTTCTGATTGAAGCTGCAATCCAAACATTTTGGAAAGCATCTAGTGAGAGAGGTGGATCTTCCCTGATTAGTAATAGTTCACTTAGTAATAGTTCAAACAGACCTTTTCCCAATTCTAATTGGAGGTGCGGGAGACAGAGACTGGGGTATTTTAATGTACAAAGAAAGTTGAAGTTGACCACTAATTATACTCTGTTTTTAATTTTATTTGTCTCAGGGAGACTGTGGGGGTCTGGATGGGGAATAGATTTTAGCATAACCTTAATAGATCCAAGTGATTATGGGCTTTGGACTCCATAAGTCCTGGAACTGAAGAAATTTCATCTTTGATCCTGAATAGGATTGTTTTATTGCCTTTGATTCAGGAAACAATGAACTTATCGCTTCTGCTTCAAGAAGAGGAAGCAACTGTGCACCAATTATGATTGCTCTTGGATGATGAGGCCTTGCTAAAGATCATTCATGCCTTAATCATTTTCTGGATGGATTATTTCAATGCAATCTACATGGAGCTGCCCTTGAAGATATCTGGAAGCTACAACTGGTCCAGAATTTATTTGTTTGTTTACAACATTTATATAGCCACTATCTTCCAACCAATGCTGGGTACAGTGTAGATATTTATGGGCAATCCTTGTTACAGTCATATAACTTCCCTACTCTGTAAACTGTACTGGATTCCTACAAGTAGTTCTTTATTTACATCCATTTTATTAGCAACTCTTCCAAGTTATAACAGCATTGAAACAAGCAACTTATAAGTGGTCCTCACACTTATAACTGTTGCATTATCTCACAGTCACATGATCAAAATTTGGATACTTTGCAACTGGCATGTATTTATGACTCTTGCAATTTCCTGAGGTTCTGTGATTGCCATTGCAATCTTCCCAACCGGCGTCCAACAAGTAACGTCAATAGCAGGTGGATTCACATCATCAAAATTCAGGCTCTTAGCAACTGGTTCACATTTACGTCGCAGTGTCCATGATTGCCGGTTCCCGCAAGCAAAGTCAGCGGGGGAAGCTGGATTTGCTTAACAATTTTATGATTCACTTAACAACCACAGTGATTTCCTTAACAATTGTGGTTTTAAAAAAAGCCACAAAATTGTGTGTGGCTCACTTAACAACCACCTTGCTTGGCTTCAGAAATTCCTGTCCCAACTGTGGTTGTAAGTTGAGGACTACTTGCATGGGCTTCTGGGTGCAAATCGTGATGCTATCATTTAGAAAACCCTAAATCACATGGGACATGGATACTTTCAGAAGTACCTTTTCACAGTAATATCTGCCTGTCTCACATGGTGTAATAGGGAGGGTACACCCTAAGTCTATTCCTTGAAACTACAGGTATTCATCAATTTATGACCATAATTCAGCCTCAAACTTCTGTTCCTAAGCAAGATATTTGTTAAGTCAAATACCTTAAAAAATGCCTGGCTAAGTGGCAGAACCTAGAGATTCAATGTTCTCAATAACTAAAGCAGAGTTAGATCACATTCAATGAGAAAGTTACCAGGCGTTATTGGACTGGGAAGACGTGCGCCCTCCCCCCAAATACCAAAAGAAATCAAAGAGAAACCACTGCATATTGGCTGCCCAGAACATTTCATGGACTAGGAGTCAAACTCAGTTTGAAAGAGTCCATTCTCTTTTTAAAAGAATAGCACCGTGATGGTGAACCTATGGCACGCGTGTCACAGAATGGCACGCAGAGCCATTTGTGCCATTTGTGCAGGCAAACTTACCTCACTACGCATGCACGCACCTCACAGCTGATTTTCGGCTGGTCTGAGGACTTTTTCAACCTCCCAGAGGCTTGAAAAAGGCTTCTGCAGGCTTTTCAGGCCGACTAGGCCCGTTTCATCACTTCCTGTTTTTCTGGAAATACCAGAAGTGACGAAATGGGCCTAGTTTTCATCCTGAAAAGCCTGCAGAAGCCTGCAGAAACCTTCCTAAAGCCTCTGGGAGGCCGAAAAAGGCCTCAAACTGGCTAAAAATCAGCTGTGAGGCACAGTGCAGGTAAGGGGGTGGCGGGGTGGATCAGTGGGGATTGAGAACATACGTTGGGGGTATGGAGGAGTGCACATTGCCTTCTGGCATGTGAGCACAAGCATGCAAGAGCACCAGTGGTGAGATTCAATTTTTTTTACTACCAGTTCTGTGAGCGTGGCTTGGTGGGCGTGGCAAGGGAAGGATACTGTAAAATCTCCAGTCAGAGGTGGAATTTGCCAGTTTTCCAAACTACTCAAAATTTCCGCTACTGGTTCTCCAGAACTGGTCAGAACCTGCTGAATACCACCTCTGAAGAGCACGTACAATTTTTGGCACAGGAGTCCAAAAAGGTTAGCCACCACTGGAATATCAGCCATCAGAAGCCAAATATTGAAAAGGAAGTAAGGGGTCAAAAAATCAAGAAGATGGTCACCAACAAGTGATTGAATCCCCCCCCCCCACACACACACACCTTTATAGCTGTCACAAATGCATATTAAAAGCAGGAATATTTCAAGCATATATCTTACCATCCATCCATGAATACCTCTCAAAAGCGGAGTGGAGAATCATGCTCTTAAATCATGTTCTAGTATGTTGCTTTCTTCCAATTCCCTCACTTTGCTGGGTACAGATAATCCTTGGTTTCAAGCAGAATTTCCATTGCTAAGCAAGATAATTGTTAAATGAGTCACTACTGATTTTATGACTGTTTTTGCCACGATTGTTATGCAAATCACTGCACTTGTTAAATGAATCATATGGTCGTTATGTGAATCTGGCTGCTTCCATTGACTTGCTTGCATGAAGCCAGCTGGGAATATCACATGCCTCAGCACCCTGCGACTGTTGTAAATACAATGTGTCTTCAACTTACAACAGTTCATTTAGTGACTGTTCAATATCCCTTAAAAAGTGACTTTCATACTTAACCACCATTGCAGCATTCCTGTGGGCACAGGATCAAAATTCAAATGCCTGGAACTGGTTCATATTTATAACAGTTGCAGTGTCTGGGAGTCATATGATCACTTTTTGTGATGTACCAACAAGCAAAGTCAATGGGGAAGCCAGATTCACTTAACAACCATGTAACTATCTTAACAACTACTGTAATTCACTGAAGAATTGTGGCAAGAAAAATCATGAAATGGGGCAAAATTCACTTAACAAAATTCTCTTTCTTTGCAACAGAAATTTTGAGCTCAATTGTGATCATAAGTCGAGGATTACCTGTAGGTCAGGGGTCTCAAACTCGCGGCCCGCAGGCCAATTGCGGCCCACAGGACGATATCCTGTGGCCCCCACCGTGATATGAAAGTATAATATTAGTGCGGCCCGCAGGGGGAATGGACCTCTGAAGGAAGTCCCGCCCGCTGTTCCTAGTCGTGGCTTCTTCTCCAGCCTGAACTTTAACAAGTCCAAGTACAGGTCCAGACTTCAAGCCATACTGAGGGTCTCAAGTGCCTCCTCTCTCAAGCCAAATGTGGCTCAGATATGTGAGAGGAAGCGTTGTCAAGTCTCTGGCAGCAAGGAGTAAGCTGGAGCAGCCATGTTCTGAGGAACTGTTCATGATCTTCATTCAATGTTCCATTCATGTGTTCAGGACAGTTCATGTATTGGAGAAATCATTAACTGTTGATGACATTTGAGGATATTTTTTTAACAACGTTTTTTGTGGAATCCCTTATGCGGCCCAGCCTCACCCAGACTCTGCCTCCAGCGGCCCCCAGGTAAATTGAGTTTGAGACCCCTGCTGTAGGTGCTGCGTGCCAAGCACCTAAATTTTGATCATGTGGGGATGCTATTATGGTCATAAATGTGAGGACTGGTTGTAAGTAACCTTTTTCAGTGCCATTGCAATTTTTAAGGACCACTAAATGAATGCTTGTAAATCCAGAATTACCTGTAATGTGTAGTATGGAAGCTCACCTTCTTTAGGAATAGAAGTGGAAGTGAAAACGCTTGCTGATTTAGCTCTCTATTTCTGAAAATAATGAAAGAACCACTCTCTAAGGTGTGCTGCAGTATTAAGTACACTTTTGAGGTGGCATGAGGTAGCTTGCAGCTTTATGGTAGCTTTCTTTAGCCAGGCAACAGATTTATTGTTTATTTATTAAATTTATATGCAGCCCACTCAAAGCAACTTTTCTCTTATATGTGTCTAATAGAGGTTTATGTTCAAAAATGTGCCCAATGAATATGAAGGAAATTTGTTATCTTGTCAGGTTAGTAGAACTAGACTGATACAAAAGTGTCCAAGTGAAAGAAATACACATTCCATCATTTTCTTTTTATTTCATTCATCCTTTAAAACACAATCAAGAGAAATCCACAGATAATTTGTGAAAATTACATTGGAGAAATCCAATGATAATTTTATTTAAAAGAAAACAAGAAATAGAAGGCACTAGGAAAAATTCACAGTGGAAACTTTCTTCTTCCTCAACTACTTGTACATAGATGGGACAAGGAGGTGAAAGACCAACTCTGTTCTTTATAAATTAAATCTGTTTCCTACCCTTTCTCTAAACCTCTTAATTCAACCTTCATTCATCACTTTCCCAAGGTGTAGTTACTCTCCATCTTTCATGGCATATGTTCACTGACTGGGACATTTCCATGGGTGTCTCCTATCCTAAGTCACAGAACTAGGGAAGGAATATCAGAATAAGATCCTACAAGGTAGCTCCTATCCTAAACACTGCAAAGTTCCCTCCTGGAACAGGACCAAGAAGGCCAACAATTTCCTCCAAATTATTTCACTTGCTACACCATTAAGCACCATTTTCCTGAACTCAAGAATAACTCCAGCATAGCTCTCACTTGCTCAACTCAGAAACTGCCATTCTTATCATTTTGATCAGCCATTTTATCTACAAATTTATTTTTCACTGTAATTTTAGACAATTGTGTCAATCACCTTATACAAGGAGGGGCTGTTTTTCTTTTTCTCCTTCATTCATGTGGACCTTCCTTACTTCTCCAGGGAGGTAACATTAAATAAAAGAAGAAGAAGAAAGAACAATACAGAAAAATGAGCACTGGTCATAGAAATATGTAATATTATACATCTAAGTATATATACACAAACAAATACATCCTACATCCCTTCCCCACCCCCAGAAAAAAAGAAGGCCATCCAAAGTTCAATCCCACAAAGTCTTTTCTATATATCTGGGCCCCTTCAGATTGTTCTCATGCAGCAATAGGCACATTGGCCCAAACACGTTCCAAAAAGGAGAATTGTTGAGTTGCCTCAGCCTCTCTGGGCCTCCTGAGACATAGAGCGGGACAGTGAGCGGCGCAGGCCAGCTCTTTTGAAGTCGGGGCAGGTGGGCTGGACCACAAGGGGCAACTCTTTGGTGATCTCAAACACAGGTTTCTTGTCAGGGCAGACACCTGTGACTGGCAGTGACTCCGCGGACTCTGATGGAGTTGGTGTCAGCTCCCGTTCAGCCTTGGTGCTTAGCTTGACTGGTGTGAAGATGGGCAAAGGCAGATGGTAAGAGACCAGGGGCTCACCCAGCAGACCTAGACGGAGGATGCCCCATGGTGATCGCTGAATTATGGCCCAAGCCTCCTGTTGTTGGTGGTAGGTTTCTTTGCGATGATGGTCCACCTCAGAGTGAGAGCAGCTATATGGATATGAGCACAGTTTGAATTAAAAATCGACCCTACAACATACCTTAATAATTCTGTCTGGAAACCAACCTTACAACATACACTGCTAGCAGAAATAGAAAACTGAGTAATTTCATCTGGAAGAATGAAGCCATCCAGAATATTGCCATTCAAAATCATAATCTCAATCTCTGTTTGGCTTGTTTGAAGTTCATGCTCCATTTGCCAAAAGGAGAAGAAATTAGGGATGCAATAAGAGCATGCAAGCTCAGGTCTCTCAGTTTCATCCCATGCTTCCCATGGTCTAACATCAACACTGGGAGGAAGTTTATTTCTGCTTGGAAGTTCCCTTCATACATCCTTTAGAGCTTTGATCTTCCATGATTGTCAACAAATTGAGAAAGCTGGTAAAAAGGAAAGATACAGGAGCTTGCCTAAGAGACTCATGCCCAGTTTTGCTTTCGTGTGGTAGCAGTTTGTTGAGAGGAGAACATCCAAGTGAGGCTTTATGGATTGAAGATGTTCATGAAGGATATTCTGATTGCAAATACTTAGCTGTGACAGTTACAAAGTGGAAATGGTTAGTTCCAAATGGAATTGTGAAGATCTCTTCCCACGCCCCTCAAAAAAAATCTATCCAGTTTAGGTGAATGGAGCAAATGCAGATTAATAAACATCCTAACTTCATATAAATGATAATGGGGACTAAGCAGGCAATGTGATTAATGTGTGGAAGAAAGGAAGGAAGAAGAAAAGTTTCTTCCATACTTGAAATAATTAGGGAAGGGGGTGAAAATTATATTGCATTGTGTCTTTTCAGATTTGTAACATAACAATAATGCATTTCAAATTCTGTAAAACAGTGTAATCAGCATTGTTTAAACGGGAGAACGTGTTAAGGCTGTATTCCCCTAAAAAGAAAGATAGCACATTCAATTTTAAAAGGAAAAGAAAGAATGAAGGATGACATCATAGATTACATTTTGTATGCTAAAGATAGAGAAAAGGGCAGAAAGAACATTTTGTTCTCTCCCTCCCTGCTGTCTTTCTCTCATGTTAGTAGATCTTGAAATGCTAAGTAAACTGGAGAAATTCAGGAAAGGGGGTCCCTTTCACTCAGTTAAAATATTTACACATTATACTAAGCCTTCAAGTATATGTTTGTTGCTAAGCTTATGTGAAATTGAACTCAGTATATATATCATTCACTGTCATTAAGTTAGGTGGCTTCCAAAAGGACTTGGACAAATTAATGGAAGATTCTTCTTTCAATGGCTATTAGTTACAATGCTTGCCAGAATAGGAAGCAGTGTGCCCTTGCTATAAGTTCTCAAAAAATAATAGAGAGAGTAATTGCCTTTTACTCCTATGTGTAATTTGTTTCAGGAGCATCTGCCTGTCCAGTGTAGGTGAACCAGGAAGCAAGACTAGGCAGGTCTTTGCCAAATTCAAAGAAATTTGCTCTTACAGCCAATGGAAATATATATTTTCTAAACAACAAGGACAATCAACTCTTTCATGGCCTGCTTGCTACACTCAACCTGGCTTTGAACCAGCAATGTATATGATCCATCTACTAAAATGAATTGAATAGCAGCAGGAAAATCTGACTTTTCAAAATCCCGGCTGCAATAACCATGAACATACCATTCTCCATTCAGCCCAACTCACCTTTTTCAACAGTGTATCACTGATGCTGTGATTTAATGTCACATATCTATTCATCTAAGATGCCATTATCTAACCACAAGCTTAAAGCATATGGAGATTCATATTCATGTCCATTCCTTGGGTGTGCCTTTCCCTTCTGCCTCTTCTGTCTTTATGTGTAACATACAGTAGCCCTATATCTGGTGCTATACATAATCATAACCTCAGAAACACTTCAATCCAACCCCATGGTAATTGTTGCTTTCCAATAAAAGAAATACATCAATTTCTTGAAAAATCCATCTGTTCTCCATCTCCCGATGCATGTAGTACTTCCAAGATCTGATTATGTTTGATTTCTTAAATGAATGTATCATGATTTCACTTTGGGTTGACATATTAATAGGAGTCCCAGCAGTCCATCCTCCAAGTTTCAGAAAAGAACTGGGGAATCTCTCCCCACCCATCTGCTGGAATAAGTAATTTTTGACCAAGTTAAATACAACCTTTGCCTAACCAAAGCACTTACCCTTCTTCAGGCCTTGAGGTGAGTGACAAGTCTTTCCATTCAGCATTGAATGATTCCTTCCTGGCTTCATCCTTCTCAGTCACCTGGCAGGCCAGTTCAGCTGCAGACAGAGTTCCAGAGCTACGGAGAACCACACTCTTCCCGTGCATCTTTGTGTGTAAAGTTCTGCTTGAAATAAAACGAGGTCTGTAAGTCTCAATTCTGCCCAGTGTTTTGTCCCTGTTGAGGTGGCTTATATAGTTTTAGGAGAGCTCATTCCTAGGGGATTGTACTGGAGCTAAATTGGTCTTGCAGAGTCACTCCTACAGCATTCCAATACTGAATACCTCTCTTCTTCTCCTCCACCCCTTTGCCCTCATGGGATATATGTGTTACTGGAATCCACGTTAGTGACATTACAATTATTTTTACATGCTCTTTTATTTCTGTATTTCCTGGCAATAGTAAGGACTGGTAATCTAATTAATTCACTATTTGAAGATGAAAAGAAAGTTTGTAAATTTCAAATCTACAGCCTTGTGTAGCAATCTTTAACTTGGAGGGACATTAAAGCAATTTAACATTTTAAATTAAAATCTTCTGAACTCATGAAAAGCCATAACTTTAATTGGGGTATCTCTCAAGGAGAAAGTGGGTCTTTAGAGATACATGGCTTCTTTAGAATAGCCCAAAGATTTAAAAAAAAATTATCTTTGATTTTGCAAAGTATACAAGTACTTTTACATCATTAAGGAATTGTGAAAAGTACAGTAAACATTAGGCTGCATTTCCTCTTCTTCTTTATTATTATGGTTCTTTTCAGAGTCAGCCAGATATTTGATCTGGCATTTTTATTTTGCCTGGCCTGGAATAGACAGATGTTGTTCAATGGTGCAGGATGTAAACTGTAAACTCTTTAAGTTTAACTGTAAACTGCTTTTTATAAAAGACTGAAATGATTTTATCAATGTCAATGGTGTTCAAGAGGTGCTCAAGACGTTTTGGGATTGCACCCAAGGTGCCTCTTAACTCTAGGTACTATCTTTGTTCTCTTTTGCCACTATTATACTTCCATTTGCACGTCTTTGTATTTTGTGAATTGCTTTCTATACTGTTCTTCTATCTCCAGGTACTGCCACTATTGGGTTTTTTTTTTGTCCTCCTCATTGACAGTTCTTAATTATTAGTATTATAATCCGTTGACAACAATGTGAAGTTACAACTGCCAGTTCTTCAGTTGGCATTGACCTTGATATGCATCATGTTTTTCCCAAGAACCTGGGCTATCATAATGTATTTATGTAACATGTTATGCGGATCCATGCACGTTTATACTATTATGTAAAAGAATACGCAATTTCATACGCACTTCAATAGTAATATTATCTATTATTGTCAGAGTATGTATAGTTGTATATTCACGATCAAACACCTTATGATCATTATACTGGAAGACATCAGTGCACAAAAGGTGCATACGCAGAGCATATTCAGAATCAGTTGTTCTAATAATTTCTGACTTCAAATTCCTTTCCAGCTCTTTTTTTTTTTCAGACATTAAAAAAAATATTATTTCAGCTATTGGGAGCCCTGAGCAAGAGCTAGTAATCCAAGAAGGTATTCTGTGACAGAAGGAAAATGTGCAGAACTTGTTGATGGAATATGGAAAGGCCGGCTTGAAAACACACGGCTCTATGACAGTTCTTCAGGATGAAGTCATTTGGAAAAATCTTTCCACTCCCCTCCTTCCTTCCCTCTCCCTCAGGTTTCAGGACCACCATACTCCCTCAGAGCCAAGCTCACGCTCACTTTTCTCATCTCCAGAGAGACCCAATGCCAAAACTTTGGTGTAACTGGGAGAAAATGTCCTGCATGTTCCTGAAGGGCAGATAGGGTCAGGGGCAACATGAGATGTTGACTTGGCAAGCGGTCCCTACCAAGAGGCATGGAAATGCTGGGAGTAGAAGCATGACTATTGCAGCGTGTGTAAACCACACACTGCAAAGATGTGGGACAAGAAGAAACTCACAAGCTGGGAAGAAGGACCAGCATGCCTTTTGCATTGTACATTTTTAAATGATACTAGTTAAAAAGCATGAGAAGTGGTCATAGGTGACTTACTGGCTTACTATGCATGAATGGACATACTGGTGCGCATGGCTTGATTTCTCCTATTAACTCTAGCATAACCAAACTTCCCATAACTGAATTCTAATGATATAGAAACAAGAATCCCTGCTTCGCCAAACCCAAGCAACTCAGGCAATGAATCCACCAGACAGTCAGTCTCTTCTGCAGTTGGGAAATAACCTTGAACTATTTTCTTGGATTAAGTAGTATGTAAACCAATCCCAAGTATGCCTTGGGAATGCATGAATTCAATCCTACCTATGAGAAAGTTCCACAGAACTCAAAGGAATTTAGATCTGAATCAATATGCATTGAATTGTTCTCAAGTGACATCATGCTTATTAGTCTTTTTTTTTCATCTTTCTGTAACATTTCCAACATCAAAGAATAATGCCTCTTGGCATTCATTCAGAATTGTATGGGATGTTTAGCATGTGAATTTTAGAAACCCATCAGCTGTTCTTTGTTACTAGACACTAATTGTTGATAGCAGCCAGCACAAACAAATGGGATGATTCCTTAAAGCCAGTTGTTTGTTCACTATAATAATCAGAAACAGAGTACCTACACTCCTCCCCATTTCAGAATTGTTGTAAGTTTTCTGGCAGCTGTATCATCTAACTTGCAATATCAGGCAAGTCCCAGACACGCAGCAGATGTGCACTTGATTACTTTGGAACAGCTTGCTTGACTGACATATTTTTTAGTTGCACATATACTACCACCCAGCCTGTACACAATAGATGTACAATTATTTCAGTGGGTAGCTGAAAAGGAAAAGAAATGAAGGTGGGGATGATAATTGTCCCTGGCTCTTGCTTGATGTGCCCTTAATGCTTTTTCAACTGGTTGCAGTAAGATGCAGTTTCTAACCATATCTCAATCTAGGATGGGTGAAGCAAATTAGGGCAAAGAATTAGCAGTAAAAAGGCAAAAATAAGCAGGAAGCAAAGAGTAATATGAGAGTAGAATTTCTCCTCTGGGTATCTCAGAAGAAAGTAAACAATAGGACAGCTGAAATATTTTGGAAGCCCCATTCTATAATAATCTTCAGTTTTACATAGAGCAATTCTTTGTGCACTCAGTTTTACTAGTTTTTGATGAGATCAAGTCATACCAGATTAGAAATCATGTTTAAAAGGGCATATTAGATTTATAAAGGTGAACCGTTTTCCTTGATTTGACTGTTGCATTAAATGATTAAAAGCTATGATATTTCCTTAAAATAATGAAATATCATGGCTAACCAAATCAGCAGAAAAGAGGTATTAAACCATTGAAGTTAGCTCCCATAAAAGGTATATAGTTCTACTGATGCATTTTGGGGGGGAAATTGCCTTTCCTTCCCTCTCCCACAATAACGTATTTTCCATCATAGCAAATTGTTACTATTGTTAGTTGCGAAGTCGTGTCCAACCCATTGTGACCCCATGGACAGCATTCCTCTGGGCCTTCCTGTCCTCTACCATCCCCTGGAGTCCATTTTAGCTCACACCGACTGCTTCAGTGACTCCATCCAGCCACCTCATTCTCTGCTGCCCCCTTCTTCTATTGTCCTCAATCTTTCCCAGCATTAGGCTCTTCTCCAGTGAGTCCTTCCTTCTCATTAGGTGGCCAAAGTATTTGAGTTTCATCTTCAGGATCTGGCCTTCTAAAGAGGGTTGATCTCCTTTAGGACTGACCGGTTTGAGCATCTTGCAGTCCAAGGGACTTGCATGAGTCTTCTCCAGCACCATAGTTCAAAGGCCTCAATTCTTTGGCACTCAGCCTTCCTTATGGTCCAACTTTCACAGCCATATATTGCAACTGGGAAAACCATAACCTGGACTATACGCACTTTTGTTGGCAGGGTGATGTCTCTGCTTTTTAGTATGCTGTCTAGATTTGCCATAGCTTTCCTCCCCAGGAGCAAGCGTCTTTTAATTTCTTGGCTGCAGTCCCCATCTGCGGTGATCTTGGAGCCCAGGAAAATAAAATCTGTCACTACCTCCATTTCTTCCCCATCTATTTGCCAGGAATTGATCTTAGTTTTCTTAATGTTGAGTTTCAAGCCAACTTTTGCACTCTCCAACTTTACTCTTTAGTTCCTCTTCACTTTCTGCCATTAGATGGTATCATTTGCATATCTGAGGTTGTTGATGTTTCTCCCGGAAATCTTAATTCCAACTTGTGATTCATCTAGCCCCACCTTTCTCATGATGGGCTCTGCATATAACTTAAATAGGCAGGGTGACAGTATACATCCTTGCCAAACTCCTTTCTCAATTTTGAACCAATCAGTGGTTCTGTGTCCAGTTCTCACTCTTGCTTCTTGACCCACATATAGGTTTCTCAAGAGACAAATAAGATGTCTGGTACTCCCATCTGTTTAAGAACTTGCTACAATTTGTTGTGATCCACACAATCAAAGGCTTTAGCATAGTCAATGAAGCAGAAGTAGATGTTTTTCTGGAACTCCCTAGCTTTTTCCATGATCCAGTGTATATTGGCAATTTGATATCTACTTCCTCTGCCTCTTCGAAATCCTCCTGGAAGTTCTCGATCCACATACTGCTGGAGCCTAGCTTGTAGGATAACTTTGCTAGCATGTGAAATGAGTGCAATGGTGCGGTAGTTTGAACATTCTTTGGCATTGCCCTTCTTTGGAATTGGAATGTAAACTGACTTTTTTCAATCCCATGCCCACTGTTTCCAAATTTGCTGGCAAATTGAGTGTAGCATTTTTTACTGCATCCTCTTTTAAGATTTTGAATAGCTCAGCTGGAGCTGCAGACCACCAACAATTTTGGTGGTCCGTGGCGCACCTGGGTGGAGGAGCTGCTCTGGGATGACCAACAGGCCAGTCTTGTGACTGGAGCTCTGGAATACAGCACCGGCTAGGCAGCTCGGGCTGGAAATATCCACTGTAAAGGGAGATATGTGCAACTTGCAACTTTGCAGGAGGTGCAATATGGTGCAATCTGGGTGAATTTTGTTGTATGTGTATACTGCGTATATACAAACAAAGACAATAAAGTATTATCATACCCCAAAAACAACAGTGTACACAGCAAACAAGATGACTATGCTGGGTTTCATATCACAAATCACTAGTCGAACACTTCCCAAGCATTTAGGACTGAGTGATGTATCGGTGGATTATGTGAGCAGATCCCAGTAAGGTGGCCTTCTGCAGCTGCTATTATTATTATTATTATTATTATTATTATTATTATTATTATTATTATTATTATTATTATTATTATTATTATTATTATTATGTAGTGCAGCCCTCACCGGCTGGAATAAAGTAATGGTGCTATTGTGGCAAGGTGGGGGTTGCTGCACAGGTGGGTTGAAGCAATGGGTGTCGGCAACCCATGGTTCATTCATCCCCCTGCTGTGGCTTCCTGTCGGCTGAACCCACCACTGGCTGGCCCCACCCCTCCCACTCTCTCTCCTTGCCTGGCCTGGCCTGAAAAGGGAAGGGCAGGGGATGGAGATTCACTCTATATTCCAGAGTGGGAGCGAAGTTTCTCTTGCTGGATCTCACAGGCGTTTCTTCCGGTCCTTGTTGGTGCTGCGTAACTGGGAGATGCATAACTTCCTCTCCACCCCAAAACACTGGCTGGCTGGCCTGGCTGAGAGAGAGAGAGAGAGAGATAAGATATGAGAGAGGGGTGGAGAGAAAAGAGATACAGAGAGATGAGAGAGAAAGAGAGATACAGAAAGAGAGAGAGAGATAAGAGAGTGATGAAAGAGAGAGAGAGAGAGAGAGAGAAAGAGAGGAGAGAGCCCCGTGTTTTGTTTTCTGTGGGAAATGGGTCCAAATGGCTCTTTGAATGATTAAGGTTGCAGAAACAGGTGGCCAAGCTAAGTGCCTGAAGGACCTCATCCCGTCACGGGGAGTCCAGGCACTTCAGTGGCGGTGCGCTGGATTCATATTAGTGGTCCGTGAGATTTAAAATTATGAATTTAGTGGTCCCCGAGGTCCGAAAAATTGGTCACCCCGGTGCGGGGTCCCCCGCTTGAGCAGAGGGTTGGAATACAAGACCTCCAAGCTCCCTTCCAACTCTACTATTGTGTTCTGTTCTGTTTCAATTCTATTATCCAAGAAAAGCAGTTTTTGTTTCATTGTGCTTTATTTTTAAATGTTTGGAGTTCTGATTGCAAATCTCCTATATGATGTTAGTCTGGTCCTAAGTAATGAAAGATTGGCATCTCTTGGTGGGGGGTGGAGGAGAGTCATAGCCCCATCTGGATTGTGTCTAAGGTGATTTGATGATATAGAAGGATCGTGATTTACAACTGCTATTTCCTGCCTCTCAAAAGTGGGAGGGTGGATCATATATTAAATTCAAGAGCTATGCATTATTTGTGAACAAGATCCTTCCCTGAAGGACAGTGGTATCTGTCATACCATATTGCCCTCCCTGGTTCCTGACACTAATTTTGTTATACTGAATGTACAACCTCAATAAAGTGTCCTTTCAATACAGTTATTAAATGACTGTCCAGTACAAGATACGCACTCCATTCCCTTGCCTTCCCCCAACAGCTTTGCCAGAGCCTTCATCAAGCTCTTTGAAAGGTCTTCTCGATTACTCTATGAAAGGGCGTGGATGTGTATTGGACAAATGACTCCAATTTATAGATACCCTACAGGGAATCTCTGATGGTATCAGCTCAAAGTACTTGGCACTAATTGCATTGGGTCCATTAACTTGTTCTAATACCTTGGGCACTCAGGGCTATAAAACCACCACTTGTCAACTCCAAGCGCAGTAGGTGAGCTGAATGCAGCTAAGTATCTCCAAAGCCATGAATGCCATTGGTACTGCAGCTATGGCTGAAAACTACCAGAAGTTCAACCCCCTGGCTTACTTGCAGAACAATTATAGTCTGCCACGTGCCAATTTCACTAGTGAGGAGTTTGTGGTGCCCTGGAAGCTCCGTTGCCTGGCAGATGCCTTTGCCACAGGTAAGAGATTACCAAGGTTTCCATTGGTTGGAAGTGGCTCCTGATACTTAAGATTCTTTTTTTTCTCTGTCTGGAACATTCTGTGGTCTCCCCTCCTAGATTATTTCTCTTCCTGTTACTAGAATATTTGTTAATACATTTTCCAAATGCTAACTTTGGTAATCAGGAACAAAACAAAGAGTAGAGTAGAGTAGAGTAGAGTAGAGTAGAGTAGAGTAGAGTAGAGTAGAGTAGAGTAGATAAAATAGTTTATTACGAAGAGTGATTAGACACACAAGAAATTTGTCTTCAGTGTATAAGCTCTCAGAGCACATACATACAACAACAAAATTATAGGTCATAGATTATACATCATAGTTACAATAATTAATCCTATGATACAAACAAGTGATAAATTACAATATAACAACAGTGGGGAAGATGAGAAAGATGATAATAGCAATATAGCCTACTACATGGATAAATATCTTAGGCCTAAGACAGTGCTGTGGGAATTAAGTGTTCAGCAGATTGATGGCCTGGGGAGAGAAACTACCTTTGAGTCTATTTGTTTAGGCCTGCAATACCCTAGAGCAGCATCCTGAGGGGAAAAGTTGAAACAGATTATGTCCAGGGTGTGAGAGGTGTGTAGATATTTTTTCAGCCCTCTTTCTGATTTGTGCAATATTCAAACTTTAATAGAGGGAAGATTGACTGAAATTATTTTTTCTACAGTCCTAACTATCCATTAAAGTTTGTGCCTGTTCTGTTTGGTTGCTGTGCCAAACCAGACTGTTACTGAGATACAAATGACAAACTCAGTAATTCCTCTGTAGAACTGCACCAGCAGATCCTTGTGCAGTCTGAATTTTCTGAGTTGATATAGGAAGAACATTCTTTTTTTTGCCTTTTTAATGATGGTTCTAATGCTAGGTGTCCATTTCAAGTCCTGGGAGATAATAGAACCCAGAAACTTAAAGGTCTTGATTGTTGATACTGTATTGCCTAATATTGTAAGAGGTGGTAGAATTGGATAGCTTCTTCTAAAATCTACTATCGTCTCTACAGTTTTAAGAGTGTTCAGCTCCAGTTCAATTCTAGCTGCACCACAGGGCCAGTTGATCTACCTCTTGTCTATGTGCAGACTCATTATCATCTTGAATGAGATCAATGATTGTTGTATCATCTGTAAACTTCAGTATTTTAACCAAAGGATTCTTCGAGATGCAGTCATTGATACAGAGAGAGAACAGTAATGGAGAAAGCACACAGTCCTGTACTAAGTGAACCTGCTGTTTCCTATTCGTTAGAAAGCTTATAATCCATCTAGAATGAACTCATGGTGAAATTGTTCGATGCATCTTTTAATTTATCATCATCATCTCCATAATCATCTGCCTAGTTTAGAGTAGAGACTCTTCTCCAGTAATGCCTGGAATGGCCATCTGAGCGAACAATCCTTGCCATCCTATCTTGGATGCTCTTTCCCATGGAAGAGCAAATGCCAGGGTTTGGTTTTAATTAACATTTGTCCTACTTATGAATCTGCAGCTAATGAAACCCCAAAATTTGCTCCCATCAGATTTTGTGGCAATCTTTTTTATTTAAATGCTTATTTGCTAAATGGGTGAGATTTTTGATTTTTGAAACTTGGGGCAGGAATCAACCAGGTTGAAACAAAGCATTCTCTTTTACCTAACAGCTTAGTTACTAGTCAGTTTCACAAGACAAATAATTTTATTTGCATATTAGCACTTAGTTCAACTAGAATACCTGTTGTGACTATATACTTTCTTCTTGACAAAATGTTATCTAACTGAACGGCTATCAAAGAAAGATGAAATGTTCAGGCACTCTGCATCTGGAGATTAAGAAATCTGCATCTAATGTAAAAATTAAGAATGATATGAAAGGAGAACAGGGGTCCTGAAGTCAACATTGTATAGTTGACCATTCCTGGTCTTCCTGCAAGTATATTGTGTTTCTATTCAAATCTAGTAAAGATTTCTAAATGTTCATGCATCTTTATAAATTAAAAAATGCAGATATGAAGCAGACTTGTCCACTATCTTTGATGAATTATTGACTTCTTTAGTGGTGAAAAGATAATATACAATAGGGATAGCATCAAGATCATCTGAAGTGTCAACACTACTTTACAATACCTTGGTAAAGACACACTTGGAATACTGCATCCAGTTTTGGTTACCACGATATAAAAAGATGTTGAGGCTCTAGAAAGAGTGCAGAGAAGAGCAACAAAGATGATTAGGAGACTGGAGGCTAAAACATAAAGAACGGTTGCTGGAATTGAGTATGTCTAGTTTAATGAAAAGAAGGACTGGGGTGACAGAAGAGGGAGTCAAGCTATTCTCCAAAGCACCTGAGGGGAGGACAAGAAGCAACGGGTGGAAACTAGTAAAGGAGAGAAGCAATCTAGAACTAAGGAGAAATTTCCTGACAGAACAATTAACCAGTGGAACAATTTGCCTCCAGAAGTTGTGAATTCTCCAACACTGGAAGTTTTAAAGAAGAGATTGGACAATCATTTGTCTGAAATGGTATAGGGTTTCCTGCCTGAGCAGGGGTTGGACTAGAAGACCTCCAGGGTCCCTTCCAACTCTTTTATTCTATTCTGTTCTGTTCTGTTCTATTTATTCTATTCTATTCTAAATTGCTGTTAAATGTATGCTGTGGGACATCACAGATAAGTCTTATGCTAACCCTTTTCCCTGTTATATTGTTTTAATAAAGCTTAAACTTAGTAGGTTAACAATCATAGAATAATTCTTTGCTTACAAAAAACCCTTGATTCAATCCCTTAAATTTTTAGGAAAATTTGTCTGCCTCCTGGAATGTCAAATGGTCTGTCCTCTATTTCTGTCAAGGCAACCACTTAATTTCTTACAATAACAGCACCTGAGCTGTTTAGAACAAAGCTAAAGAGGATACTCAAAATGAAATGGAATAGCAACTACTATTTAATATTATATTATTCCCTAGAAAGCCAATTCTCGGCTTTCCTTCCACACAGGCCCTTAGGATTCTATAGTGCTGTGATGAAAAACAAAAGAAATCATTTTCTGGATGATTCTTTGGGGGTCAATATGACAGAGGACTCTCAGTGTGTATCCAAGCACCACGTACCAATGCCGCCTCCTCCTCCTCTTGATATTTAAATAAGCATTTCTGATTTTTGCAAAACTTTTTAAAATCTTGATTTTCCTCTCTCTTTTAAATCCTATGCAGGAAAAATAACTGGCCACACTCTGATTGATATTGGCACAGGCCCCACCATCTACCAGCTCCTCAGTGCCTGTGACTACTTTAAGGAGATTGTAGCCACCGACTTCCTGGAAGTGAACCGGGCTTTCATTCACAACTGGGTGCACAGTGAAGACAAGGATGGCTTTGACTGGTCCCCTTATATCCAGCACGTTTGTAAAATTGAGGGCAAAGGGTAAGAAACTGAGGGGGGGACTTTGCTTTTGGATTTAGGGAAAATATATATTCTTGGAATTTATGCCCACTTGAAAAATGCTTAGGAGGGCCCCAATATGTTTTGTGGGAAAAGGGAAGAAATATGAGCCAGGAGCCAGACTGATCTATGTGCCAACTCATCCAATGCAGTGATTTTACACATGACTCCATTTCTATATTAAACTTTCTCATACCAGCCATAAATCTGCTCCGCCTCCCCCCCCTCTTTCCCCCCCCTCTGGTGCCTACAGGGAGCTGTGGAAGGAGAAAGAACAAAAGCTGAAAAAGAAGCTGAAAAAGATCCTTCCCATTGACATCCACCAATCCGACCCGTTGGGTTCTTTGCTGAGCCAGCCAGCTGATGCTTTGATTTCTACTTTTTGCCTAGAGGCTGCAAGCCCTGACCGCCCAAGCTTTGATAAAGCTTTTCAGAATGTCACCAGGCTCCTTAAACCTGGTGGCCATTTTCTCATGATTGGAGCTTTGGAAGAGTCTTTCTACTTAGCAGGAGACGTAAAGCTGACAGTGGTGCCCCTGAGTGAAGCCGACATCAAGGAATCATTTGCAAAAAATGGCTATCATATTCATGACTTCCATTCCTACAACATGCCTCCAACCCTGAAGATCGGAGTTGATGATGTACAAGGGATCTTTTTCATCCATGCACAAAAGTTACCTTGATTCCATTTTGTCTTGAAGTTGTTGTTTCTTTCTCTTGTCAAAGAAACATGATGTTGCATAAAAACTCAGCTTGCTCGTTCTTCCTATTATTTTTTTGTGTCGAAGTCTCTATGTTTAGATCTTATTGCCTCTGTTTTGATCTTATCTGAATTCACATTTATTGCCAAAAGACGATAGTTTCAGTAATCTGAATCAAATTCCTTTGCAGATTTTATTCATTTCTTACTGTCCCTAGAATGAAATAATGCATTGTCCAAATTCTATACCCCACTATAGTGCAGATCAGGGACAGAATATTTTTTTTATTTAGAACAGCAACAGCAAGGTTATACCTCTACAGCTGCAGTAAAAAGGGGGGCAGTTTTCCCCATTTTGGTATTCTCCAGATGTGTAAGACTTTCAAGACCATGGTGGTTAGCAAATAGTTCTAAAAAGCTTTATAGAAAAACCTCCAAGGAGGTAGATGCATCATAAGCAACTTACTGATTTGTTTTGCATAATACATTAAGGTATGGTTTGCTTAACTGTGGTTTAAAGAAGTCTCAGTTGCTTGAATTCTCATGTCACATTATGTATTATGTACATAATGAGGAGTCTGTTAACTGATGGGGAAGAAAGCAAGAAAAATCAGGAAGAAGAAAGATTGCAAGAACTAGGAAAATTGCTGGACAAAAAATTAAATGCACTAGATTTCAACAGATCTATATAAAATATGATTAAAACTAGATCCACCCAATATTGAGACAGAAAAGTAAATAACTACTTCAGCATATGTTATAAAAAAGTATCTGAGCACAGTGGGTAGCTTTCATTTAAAAACCAACATTTATGGACATCTACTAGGTGCTGCATGCTTATTGAACTTCTGCTTTCCTCTTCATGTTGACCTTTGTGAAGGAATTATTATGAGAACCACTTTGAATTCACAAATAGTTTTTAACATTTTATCTTCTATCTCAAATGTGTTAACTAGAGAGAAGTTTGCCATGAACGGCTGCCATCTCTGGTGATAGTTAGAGGGAATTGCCAAACTTTTTTCAAAAAAAAGTTGCTTGAAATGTAAACTGAACTCAGCCATAATACTTTATTTCAGTTCATTTTCCCTTCACCCTAATTTCGCTGCATCACATGAGGAGTTAGGGTTTAGGTATATTGACAATAAAACACAAACAGGTGTTGTGAATTCAATTATGTTGTGAACAGCCTCAAACATAGCCAAGTCATTATGTAAATTCTGCAGATTTTGCAGATCATGTATGGTTCCTTAATTCCCAAAAGTTATTTTCTGATTAGAAGAGAACATACTAACTAAGGATCTTATATATTGTACATGTATTTTCCTTGGTGGTGGTGGTGGTGGAATCAACCAGGATATTGAAATGATTATGTTCAAGGCTTGGTGGCATTGAAGTCATTACAATTATTTCCAGCACCTATTCCTGCCGTGTGTGTGTGTGTGTGTGTGTGTGTGTGTGTGTGTGTGTTATTTCTGACACAGACATTAATTACAGAACTAAACATATCTAACAGCCAAATGGCTGAGAGTAATGGGGTATTTACATTTTTAAATTGCATAGAGATGATTGTATGGTTGGTTGTGTTTAGTTTAAATTTTTTTCTTTTTAGTGGTGTTTGTCCAGTTTTTACTTTGTGGAAGAGCACCTCATTTCGTTGCACCCGCTTGCGAGTGTAATGACAAATAAATTCTTATGTCTTATGTCTTATGTCTTAAATGTTTTTAAAACTAAAATATAGAATTTTAAGTAGTTTATTATGTTTACCGAATTTTCCACTTGCAAATACCTGGCCAAGTTGTGCCATTTCAGAAAGCAGATACAAGGAATGGGATGGTGATAGGGTGGTCACGTCTGTGGGGAACAGATCTATTGTCTTCAGCCTACAGGTCACCTTTTTCCTAAATCAAATCCCCTGATTTAGGAGGGGGGGCGGGGAAAGGCAGAAGATCACTGACTTGCTTGTCTGAAAGCATTCTCACACACTGGGAAATCCACAGGCTTCAGCAGCTGCCCTTTAACCAAGCCAAGCTTCAAAGGCAAATGGAGATTAAAGCGATAGTGTAGTATGATGGAAGGATTTTTCATAGCAGTTACAGGCTGCTAAATAAGGTCATCAAGAAGTTAGCGTTTAAATTGAATCATTTTTATCAGAAACCGCACACGCATTTTAAAAAAGAAACCCAGCAGAAATTCAATTACAGTGGGATATCTTCCTCAAGAGAGCCTGTACAATGTAACCCATTAAGAGGAATGCAGTTGACTATTATTCTGTATGTTATCTGGGACTTAATAATTTATTTCATTTCAGCTGACTTCCAGCAGAAGTAGCAATAAAAGAATACCAAGGACCTGGTAAATGAATGTAGTTTAAACAGAATATATTAACTTTTGTATGATATTTTAATAAAATTGTGCTTTTCCTTCTTGACATATATAAATATTAGGGTAGGCAAAGATGTTTCACAGCTGAAACTCCACCAACCTTACCCTATTTAACAGAAAGGAGCTGCCTACCTTCAAATAAGCTATTTGCAAAGGAAAGGCAGGATTTTAACGTAAAACCTGGTATCACATTTATAAGGAGATGATTGATGAGACATCTTCTGGAGTCCCAGAAGAAAGAGTGGGTGCTTTTTTTTAATGATTTCCCCATAATGTCCAACCCATTGGAAGAATGACAAACAGAATTGGGACTAAGGATAGCCTTGTGGGGGGGGGGGGGGGGAAATGTTATCGAATTTCTCTTGTGGAATGGAAAGGAGTGGGGGTGAGGAGAGAAACAACAGCAAAACCATGAAAAAGTCCCATTATTACAATTAGCTCCCATTTGAGACACTAGAGCACTTACTATCTTGGTTAAAATGTATCGGATATCAAAAATTAGCATGAGCTGGATCTGGCATCTTCTTTTCACAGAACTCCTTCTCAGCACAGTGGGGAGAGTATGAGTGGCACTACTCAGATTAGGACTAAATTCGTACTAAGCCAAGGCTTGATTATTATTTTTTCAGGGTTCACTTAATAAACTATAATCGGCTTAATTGCACAATGTACTCATGGCTTACAAACTTCCTAGCTGAAATATAAAACAGGAGGGCCAAAGGAGCTTGATGGGTTAGCAAAGACTTATAGGAATGCACCCGCGGCCTTCTGGGTAGGAAACTAGCTCTCCTCATACCAGTTTCTTCTCACCATTTTTCCTGATTGATTGATTGCGCTATTCCTCCCATACTTGCCACATCTGGCGCTTCTAATTTAGATCTGTTTGCACAAATTACTAGCATATGGTTTTCTAAACTATAGTCTACCAAATTAAATAAACTGAATCCACACAACATGTTTAGTTATAAAGCTAGCATACTTTAGATACATTTTCACAAACAGAGCACCCTTAGCAGGCATAGGAAGAAGGTAGAAAGAAGGCTTTCTTCCACTGACCATTAGGTCAAGATCTGAACATAGAATAGGGTTGTAAAAAGCCTTGGAAGTCTTCTAATCCAAACTCGTTCAAGCAAATGGACAAATGGATGCCCAATCTCTTCTTGAAAGCCTCCAATGATGGAGCACCCACTACTTCCAGAGGAAGGAAGGAAGGAAGGAAGGAAGGAAGGAAGGAAGGAAGGAAGG